TATGATAAGAAATACAAATTGTAAAATTTGTGATACCTACCATTATAAATTGGTACATCATACGACACAAACAAAATTTTGTATCAATAAGAAACCCCATCAAGCGAATTTTGTGTTAGTAATTTTGTGTTAATTTTTGGTCATCAATGGACGGGTAATTTTTAGCTTAATTTTTAAAATTCTATGTTTAAATTAGTATTTCTAATTATTACTTACACTGTATTAATTTGGGATACTCAACGATTATATGTTTATGTTTTATTTACTAAATGATTTTTTACATGTAGATCTAACACATCATACGACACAAATAAAATTTCGTATCAATACAAAACTCAATCAAGCGAATTTTGTGTTAGTTTTAGGTCATCAATGTCCGGGTAATTTTTAAAATCTTATATTTAAATTTATATTTGTAATTATTAGTTACATTGTATTTATTTAGGATACTCAATGATTATTTATTTAGTCGCCATCTAGATAAAATTAATGAATTAGATTTGATATATCTAAAATTTTAATGTCACGTAGGTTATAATCCTTGAATTAAATTATTTTAATGAAAAAAATAAAGTAAAAATATAGGAAAAGATAAATTTATTAATTCAATACTACGAGTATAAGAAATCCAAAAAAAAAATATACTAAAAAATATTTAAATATTAAACGCTTATAATAAATCTTGATACCTATCATTATAAGATAAATTTTGATAGGATTTATGATAAGAAATACAAATTGTTCATTAATTATAATTAAATTAAATTTGTGATACCTACCATTATAAATTGACACATCATACGACACAACCAAAATTTCGTATCAATAAAAAACCCTGTTAAACGAATTTTGTGTTAGTAATTTTTTGTTAATTTTTGGTCATCAATGGTCGGGTAATTTTTAGCTTAATTTTTAAAATCCTATGTTTAAATTAGTATTTTTAATTATTACTTACATTGTATTAATTTGGGATACTCAACAATTATATGTTTATGTTTTATTTATTAAATGTTTTTTTACATGCAGATCTAACACATCATACGACATAAATAAAATTTTGTATCAATACAAAACCCTATCAAGCAAATTTTGTGTTAGTAATTTTGTGTTAGTTTTAGGTCATCAATGTCTGGGTAATTTTTAAAATCTTATGTTTAAATTTATATTTGTAATTATTAGTTACATTGTATTTATTTAGGATACTTAGCGATTATTTGTTTATGTAATGGCATACGATTAGATGTTGTATACTTAATATATGGATGACTTTGGTTATTTTTGGAGATGATGAAAAAATTCTAATGCATAGATTTGTTTTTATATCGCAATAATTGCTTATTTATTGGTAAATATATTAATTTATTTTATATAAATATAAAGATTTAATTTATATCAATCTCGGTTTGGCTAACATTATATTCCAATGTCATATGGATTTTGCAACTAATTGAGGTGACGATTCCCAATTTCCTAACTTTTATAAGCATCAAAAAACATGTTTCAAAAAAAAAAAAAAATCAAAAAACAGAACTTCCCAAATATTATTAGAACCAAAAAGTTCAAAAAAAAAAAAAAAATTAGAGCCTGATAGTGTAACTGTGTAAGTGACCATACAGTTATACAATTGCTGCCTTGCACGGTTGCACCACCTTATAGTTGAACATAACACACCAAAATTCCAAAACTGTAATGCTGTACTTCATCATTATATTTGTCCCTCAGAATTGAGCATTGTATATTTATATATACGACTCTTCATCTCTAACAAAAGAATCAGAAATAACAGCATCTTTCACAGATGCAAGATGAATCCTTCTCTCATCTTTGAATCAACTATAGTAAAAAATAAAATTAAGCCCTTTAATTCCTATTAAGGTAATCTGCTAATAGCCCTTTCAAGCAGATTATTTACGGATATTGTAAATGCATCATCAAATCGTGTTAGCTTAGCGTCATCTTGTGCATAAACCAACCGAGGCATCAGTTCCTCGATTATGTACTTCCTCATCTGTTGCCTTTCTTGTAGAGGGATTTTCAGAAGCTCGTCTACCACGTTCACCTCGGACATCTTCACCTCCTCTTGGTCTATATACACGGAATATTTCCTGTGATCTTCGGGCAAATGCCAGGGATATTGGTAGTGTGCTGTGAAAGGATCAAAGACAACCGGAATGCAGCCAGCAATGAGGGAGTCAAACACTGATTTTCTTGTTGGACTATCCCCTGGAGGCTGCAGGCAGAATTCTGATTTCATGAAAAGTTTCACTACAGCTGCAGAATCAGCACATTTTTGTTCTCCACAGTCCAAGAAGTTGCACACTCTAGGGGCAGAAGCGCATTGCTCGATGAGGACTGATCTTATGCTCCCCAAGGCCCTACGCGGGGCACCTGCAAAGCTGATCAAGTGCTTCCGATTTACCTGCTTGATTTTCTCCTGCCATGCTATGATCTCTTCATCTGAGCTGGGGTGGAAGTTTGTCGGGTGTGGAATTCCCACGTCGTTGGGATGCCAAGGTTGTCGTTCAATCAAGAGCTTCATCGGGTTTTAGATCTCATCTAGCTCCAAGAAGCGGCTCCCCCAGGACACATTCTCCCACCTCCTGAAATCCCAAGAGATTTTTCCTAGGACAAACACATGATCTAACCCAAAGTTTCTCCTCCACGTCTCCTGAGGTTCAAGCCACTCTACAAGCTCCTCAGAGAGCGAATCCTTCACGTTACTAGGGACCTTATTAAATTGCCACCTTAATATATCCATCCCACCGTAGAAGGGCACGAAAAAAAGATTGGCCTCCTCTGCATTGTGGACTCTACAAGGGTGCTTGAGTATACAATTGTGGAATATCGGCTCTAGGGAATACTGGTAGGTGTTATACCATCCTTCCCCTAGCTCTGGCATAGGTTCACCCATTGCACCATTGGTGAAGTACTTACAAAAGTCGAGCCACGACTTCATCTCATTGCACTTGGCTAGCAAATCCTTGTTGAACTTTGGAGGCAGATCATACACATATATACCTCTTCCCTCACAATTTAAGGGCTTTTCCTTTGCAATGTAGGTTCGCAAGGTTGCTAGTTGTTCTTCAACATTCTTCCTAGCATTTGCTATCTCTTCTGCCTTTTCCTTATCAATACCCTTCCGGAGGACAGGCTTTGAAAACTGAAACAAGCTCGACGATGAGGATGATCTCTTTAACTCATTTGTACTTCCATCATTTACTTGGCTAGTAAGGCTCTTTTTAATTACAGGCAGTTGGATATCAATGCTGTCCCTGATAACATAAGGTGGGGAGGAGGTAATGATTGGATTAGAAACTGCTATGTTTCGGGTGAATTGTGCAGCTCCTTCAGTCTTTTCTTCAGAAGCAGAGTTTTTGGTGTTTTCAGCTGCAGTTGAAGGGCTAACAGACGAAAAAACAGGAGTTTTCTGGCTGTTATTAAGGACTAAACTTTTACTTCTTTGAACAGCTGAAAAGTCAGAGCTATTGCTAATCAAAGGGATATCAAAGGCAGAAGGTTGAGCTCCAGCAGAAAGACAGTAGAGGTTGTTAAGTTTCCTAGACGTTACACAGACATGGACAATAGAACCGGAAATTATAGTGGTGGAAGAAGACCAGATGAAGATGATAATAATAAGAAGTAAAGTCACAGGAATTCTGCTCAGAAAATTAAACAGACATGACTTAATTAAGTCACGCTCTTCCTCTTTCTTGTATGATTTCTTTGATTTCTTCTTAGACAATGAGACTGCCATTTGGAAGATATCTGAGGTTATTACTCTTAGCCATGATAGCTCCTAGTTTTGTACGACAAAAAAGTTCTAAGAGTAATCTGCAGTAACTGATGGCACGTCGAAAACTTACAGACCTCCACGTCCTTCAGCTAACAATGTGCAATCCAAGATGACATATCATAGAAGCATATACACGTTAGATTACAATAGTATTATTGGTATTAATGTATTATAAATTGGTCAGCATATTGAAGCAGAAACCTGTCATTGGTCGACGTGCTATATGATTTCATCATAATGATCATATGAAAACATATAATTGACACTAAATTACCAAATTCATGACCAAATGATATGTTAGTCGTTGGCATCCAACAATAAGGCTAATATATGATTGTACATGACTCATGAGGTTGATACTGCATATAAGTATATTAAAAGTCAATGATCAAAATTCTCAGGATCAGGTCATTGTTTGTGATTATACTCAACTGATTTCCTCATCTTTGGCACGAACCTTTTATTCGGCTTCACGTAATCAAAATATTTGCCAGCTAGTTTTTTGGAATCATCAGTTGGTTACCGGAACAAGGTCACGAAACGAGCTTCACTTCAACTTGATGAAGCCCAGCTAGGCTTCCATAATGTCATGTTTTTTGAAACTTCAATACTCCATAGAAATTTTGTATTCTACTGACCTTATATCTTAACTATTATCCTGTATCATGTGATAGCTAAGCTGTCCTTTTCTAAGGGAGTTAAATTACAATTAACTCTAATATTCATTATTCTAATATTCTTTACCTTGAAGAATCTAATGATCTTAATTGCACCAATGGTCAACACTTATAATACTTGTATATACAGTAAAGTAGCAGATGTTCATTGTTTAAGCTCATTATTTAACACATTGGCTAGAATTTGCTAATTACCATAGGATTAAGACAATGCATGTACGCCCCTGCGCCCTTACCCTGCATAAGCAAAAACCTTGTTAAGGTGTAGGACCGATTTTCGTCTACAACTCTTTTTAAGACTCTCTACAACATATATGTTCCGGTACTGGATGAGTCGTCTATGTAATACTTACAACGTTTAACACGAACAACTCCTCTGTACAAAAATGATTATTGCAACTACGTCGTATTAACTTCTGATATGGCTTAGCTATATTCTGTGATCTGCACGCAGCATTATTAACACAGCGCTTGCTTTAAAGAATATCAGCATGACAAATGGAAAACTACACAATAATTTCAATCAAAGGTTGAAAACGAGATCTTGAATATACCAGAATATAGCAATAATCTGACCTTAAAATTACAGAATACTATATGTTTTAGCAAAGCAGAAGACAGCATAAGTTGAGGGGCATTAAAGGCAACCTATGACGAAACCTAAGATGCCTCATATACAGATCTGCAGCTAAGGACTTGGAGTTGTACATGTGCCTAAGAATCATCTTAATAAAAAATCTTTACAAAAACTGTCTTCAATTTTGCTTCAATGCTTAGCAAATTTGCAATTGTTATTGTAATTTGTAAATAATGTATGACTTTCTATTAACGACAATTTTTTCTAACCAAAGAAAAAAGAAAAAAAAATCTAGCTTAGTTTCTAAAAAGAATGAAACAACCTTTAATTCCTAATCAAGGGAATTTACTAATCGCCCTTTCAAGCATATTATTCACAGCTAGAGTGAATGCATCTTCGAATTTTTCTAACTTAGCGTCAGCTTGTGCATAAACCAACCTAGGCATCAACTCATCAATGATGTACTTCCTCATCTCTTGCCTTTCTTTCAGAGGGATCTTCACAAGCTTCTCTATTACATTACCTCCTGACAACTTTACCTCATCTTGGTCTATATACACCGAATACTTCCTGTGATCCTCAGGAAAATGCCACGGATATTGGTAGTGTGCTGTGAAAGGATCAAAGACAACCGGAATGCAGCCAGCAATGAGAGAATCAAACATCGACTTTCTTGTTGGACTATCCCCGGGAGGCTGAAGGCAAAACTCTGTTGCCATGAAAAGTTTCTCAACAGGTGCTGATTCAACACATGACTCTCCTATACAGTTCAAAAAGTTGCACGCTTTGGGGGCAGCAGTGCACTGCTCGATGAGGATCGATCTTATGCTCTCCCAGCGCTTGTGTGGAGTCCCAGCAAAGCTGATTAAGTACTTCCGTTTCAGCTTCCTGGTTTTTTCCTGCCATGCTATGATCTCCCCATCTGATCTAGGGTGGAAGTATGTTGGGTATGGGACCCCAACCTCGTTGATATTCCAAGGTTGTCGTTCAATTAAAAGCTTCATTGGGTTTTGGAGCTCCTCGAGCTCTAATAGGGGGCTCCCCCAAGATACATTTTCTGTCCTCCGGAAATCCCAAGTGATTTTCCCTAGAACAAACACATGATCTAACCCAGAGTTTCTCTTCCACGTCTTCTGCTGCTTGAGCCACTCAACAATCTCCTTAGACAGAGCATCTGAATCATTCATGCCGCTGCCATCCTTACTAAAGTGACATCTTATCATATCTATTGCACCATAGAAAGGAACATAGAAAACCTTGGCTTTCTCTGCCTCCTGAACTCTGCAAGGATGCTTGAGTATACGATTGTGAAATATTGGCTCTAGCGAAAACTGGTGGCTGTTATACCATCCGTTCCCCAATGCTGGTATAGGCTCACCCATTGCTTCGTTTGTGAAGTATTTACAGAAGTCAATCCACGCCATCATCTCATTGCACTTGGCTAGCAAATCCGTGTTGAACTTAGGAGGCAAGTCGTAGACATATATCCCTCGTCCCTCACAACTGGAGGGCTTTGACTTTGCAGTGTAGGATCGTAAGATCACTAATTGCCCTTCCACAGCCAACCTAGAGTTCGCTGTCTCCTCTGCCTTAGCCTTATCTATGCCCTTCCGGATAACTGGCTTTGTAAACACAGAATCTCCCAAGACTGGTGATGGTATCAGCTCCTCTTCCGCACTTTCATCATTACTTTGGCTCTTGCTACTTACAGGAAGTCGGATATCAGGGCTATCCTCAAAATCAGAAACTGGGGTGGTTACAGGGCTGACAGAAGAAGAAACTACAGAATTTTGGGTGATATTTACAACCTCCTTAATCTCATCTTCTGCAGCAGAACTTCTATTGTTTTCAGCTGCAGTTGAAGGACTAATAGATGAAAAAACAGGGCTTATCTGGGTGTTACTTTGGTAAACAGGACTTTCAGAGCTTTCGTTAATCAAAGAAAGAGTAAAACCAGAATTTGTGGATATACCTGGACCACCAAAAGAAATACAGTTGGGGTCGTTAAGCTTCCTAGACCTTACACAAACATGAAAAATCGAACCAGATATAATGATGGTAGACGAACACCAGATAAAAAGAATAAAAAGAAGACAAACAACCGCAGAAATTCTCTTCAGATTTCTGAACAGACACGGATCAAAGAAGCACTGCTCCTCTGATTTTTTCCTCTCCATTTTCAGATGAAGATTTTGTGAGCTCTCTGTACAAAGCTAAAACTCTCAGCCTAACCTCCTGCCTTTATAATTCAACGGTAGTCTTCGAAGTTGGCAGGCACGTTTATAACTTGCAAGCCTGTACATGAGCACTGCCCAAATTGTTTAAAAACATTACTTAGAGAGACTTAAACATATAAAAAACTACGCGATCAGATAAATATTTCCATTTTTATTGGAGTAAAACAGCAGCCGGCCAGACGTCGCAGTCACCATCATCATGACAAGTTGTTGGTAACAACCATTATATCATAATATATAACGATAATGTAATCATTAACTTGATATTCCCATGTTTATAATTGAAAGTATAACATTACATCGTATATTATAAGATCAGAGAACACAGGATCTGGTCCCTCCAATCTGTTACAACCCCTCTATTAGGCAAAAGGGTCGGAAACAGCTTATACACGTGCATAGTCTGTTGTTATAAAACAAAAATATGAAGGAATATAAGACCATCTGATTAAAACCTTTGTCTTACTTCTATTTAACTCCACCTTAAAATGACATGCTTACCTCAAAGGTTACCACGTTCGACGCCGACTCCGGTGGTTGGATTAATTTTCTCTGCTTGCTGTATATATTCTTAGCACTTTGTTTATCTTGATTTGTATTGTTTATTTGATGGTGGCTCTTAAAATACAAGTAAAATGATTATACTTGATTTGATTTCTCCCCTAATATCATTAGTTTAATACTTTCTAACTTTCCTTGCTAATTACACTTGCCTATTTTAATACTTCATTTCTTTTTCATTAATACTAAATTAATGTAAAGTGGGTCATAAATTTGTATGAATACAAGTTTGATACTCCTTTCTTTCGTTTTACCATTGGTTGTTAAGTATTTTAAACGCGTTTAATTGACTAGATTTAGATGTTCAAGTAAGAATATTCTTTATGGGGTGGTGGGATGTTGATTGTTCACTTTAATCACTTTTGCTTTTCAAATTTAAATTAGGACCTTTAATTAGTCAAATAATATATTGATTGCAATTATAATATTCATTACTGTTAGGAGATTTTGAAATATTTGAGATTAGGGAAAATTATAAATATTGTGGTATATTTTACATACTGTTATAAGGTTTTGATTTAACTGAGATTTGGGAAATTATAAATATTGTGGTATATTTTACGTACTGTTATAAGGTTTTGATTTAGTGCGATTTTGAAATATTTGAGATTTGGGAAATTATAAATTGTGGATTGGTGGTATATTTAAGGTTTTGATTTAGTGAGATTTTGAAATATTTGAGATTTGGGAAATTACATATTGTAAATTTGTGGTATATTTAAGGTTTTGATTTAGTGAGATTTTGAAATATTTGAGATTTGGGAATTATAAATATTGTGGTACATTTTACATACAGTTATAAGGGTTTTTTTGAAAGCTACTGTTATAAGGTTTTGATTTAGTGTATACTCAGTTTATCTTTAAGATATTCAGTACTATAAAGTTAGGATTGTTTCCTAATAATCAAGATTAGTTACGGTATACCATCTGGTTTGGTGGTTATCAAAATTGTCTGAGAGTAATTTTTTGGGTACTCTGTAACCCTTGATTAAAGGCCTCTCATCTGGTCATCTATGTGCGTGTACGCAGTCTTAAAGCACAACGCGTACTTGGTTACGTCCGTATACGACCTTGCACCTTATGGGCAGGGACTAAAAAACCTATCACAAAACAAAACAAAACAAAAAACTATCACAAACTTCCAATCTATTCTGTTAGGGTAGACAACACTTCAGAAAGGAAATCCACAAGCACTTCATAGTTAATTTACTCATATGGTGGTTTTTTTTTTTTCTTTATTTTCTTGATTGAGAAACAGAAGTACAGTTTATTATTGTACAAAATGCTTGCTGTAAAGGCAAATCACTAAAAAAAACTACACAATAACTTAAAAATCAAAAGTTAAAGCAAGATCTAAGACATGCCTTAAATAATCTGACCTCAAATCTACAGCATACTGTCAGTCCTAGCAGGCAGACGACGGAAGAAGTTGATGGGCACTGATGGCAAGCGATAGCGAAACCTAGGATGTCTCAGGGCATAGAACCCAGCTAAAGCAGCAATCACTTGGAATGGAGTAACATACAGCACAATAGCAGCTACAAGACAGAACGTCACAAAGATGGCTGTAGCACGTGGATCCCGCCAGCTTAAGAGAGCCTGGAACCGCTCACCTTGAGTTGCAACATCACCAACCACGGTTTGAATCCTTCCAGCCACACTCCTCAGCCGATCATACCTCATTCTCACAAGCTCCGGACTCTTACTAGTTGGGAAAGTGTCAAACTCCTCATCAAGTTCATCAGGAAGGGAAGTATCGGCCTGGGAGATCTTAATATTCATATGTGGAGGGTACCTAGGGCGGTACCTATAGTTCCAAATCCCAATCAAAAACATGTAGAGGAAGACGGTAGGCAAGATCAGTTCGGGAAAGCAAACAAGCATAAGAAAGAGAATGTGGACGAGGACTGTCGTTATAGGATTTCTCCACATGCATACATCACCAAACCATTTTCCAACAGCAAATAATCCTGAGAAGACTGACATGAGGCGGAAGAAATTTGCCTTGCTTCTCCGCATGCTCCAGAGATGGGCATCCACATCAGACATGTACTCCACCACCTCCTTTCGGAGTGGAGGTTCTGCTCGGCCAAGCCTCATAGCAACTATATTCATGGCTTGAAAACGTAGCATGTCCTGCTGCATTACTGTGAAGGGTCTAACATAGTGCATTTTTGGTAAGAGTGGACGTGAATATTGATACATCATGTTCGCAAATGAAGTGCAGGAATACCTAAGAGCCAAATGCAGCTCCCCCATCTTTTTAACTCCGTTTGGTTGAAGAACAAGCAAAGGATATGAATGTGTATAGATACGACCAGTTTCAAGGGTAGAGATACGTATCCGTACCTTCCCTATCTTGACGTCCTTGTGCCCTCCACTTGATTCCTTCCCTCCAATTTGACAGTTGTCAAACACACCCACTGTTATAACTGTTGCTGGGTCAAAAACTTCCCAAGTATACTGCTCATTGTATTTTGGAGAGAGGCTGTCAACAAGTGTCCTTGTTCTGATCCACTTATGACCATACTTTGCAACACAATACGTATCTGATGTACCTCTCCCATCCCTTGTTTTCATTGGGTGGAGTCCTTCGGCACTTAAAATGCCCAGTTCTAAGACACCTATTGTAGGCTTCCAGAGCTGTTTTGCCGTGGGGCGAAGATCACTGCTGTAATGAGTGGACTCATCAAGAACATGATAACCTCCATCTAAACATACACGAAGATGAAGCCGGCTGGCAAACTTCTCTTTCTTCAGTTGATCAATATCCACAGCAACCGGCTTCTCAAGATGAAACCACCGAGAAGGAATGAGCCGGTCATCTGCACGCCTATCAACTTGAGTCAAGGGGATGATGACTCTCCCAATGATCTCATCTTTACCAGGAGCCACACGATCCTCAACAGTGATAACCAGATGGTCATCAAAGGGCTCTGCTGCGACAAACAGTAGATCCTCATTCCAAAGGGAGTTCAGTGTACGAGTCTGAACAGGTTTAGTCTTCATAATCTGGTGACCAATCTGTGCCTTGCAGAAAACTTCAGGAAATCGGTTTTTTTCAGTAGGTATCAAATCCTGTGCTTCAATAACATTAACACGTACATACCACAGCCTTGGGGCATGATAAACCTTTGAACGCAGAAGTGCTGAAGCAGCAGAAGACTGAATATCAATACCAGCTGTATCAGAATGCCATGCTTCTGAATATGCTTCATCAGCTTGAGTACCAAGCCAGACAGCCAGCATTAATTCACCTTTTGCCTTTTCACCCTTCTTATCCTCAAGACGGTACCATTGAGGAGCTAATGGACTATCTGGGGGAACCCTGCTTGGCACCTCATGCAAATCAAATCTTAAAATGCCAACAAAATCATCTTTAATTAAATCCTTGTCCTTGACTTTTACTTCAAGAACTGAGGCCTGCAAACGATCCTTCGAAAAGGCAAACACCACATTCCATTCCGGATGGTCATTCTTATCTAGGTGCTTGGTCACACCTTTATAGTTTCCTATTCTCACCTCCACAAAAGGGTCAATACTACCAGTAAGATCCATATTAGGAAGATCATGGGCTTTAACAACTCTGACATAAAGGAACTGCATCCGTTCCACAAGATCATATGTGCTTGAAGTTTTATCTGCATGAACAATACGTCCCCCAATTACTCGTCCCCCTCCAAGGTATGGGCTTGTCTCTTTGAGAGCAAAGTCAACTGGTTGTGCGGCAGAAGCAGAGTGCATCCTGACAATCTTGGGTGGTGGTGCTTGAGCTTTCATTTTCATTTCTTCAACTTCTTGATAAGTTGCCTCACGAGAAGCGTCCACAGGACCACCATGATTATGTTGATGGTCTTGATGAGGATGCGGATGAGAATGAGAATGGGAATGATCATGAGAATGAGAATGGCTGGTGTTAGGTAAATGACGGAAGGTGTGTCTGACTTCAGATTTTGGAGCCTGAGCATGGTTTACACTTACATTAGTTTCAGCAGCAGGAGTGGACGACTTAATGGTTGGATCATTTGTGATAAAAACTTTGAGACCAAGCTCTCCTTTGATGCGAGAGAAGATGCCACGCTTTTCCAGAGGGTAATGCAAGACAACTGCATCAGAGTGGGGAACAAATGAAGTCCCACTAAGGGAGACCTTACCAAGAAATGACCTCGAGTTTGTGGCTCTGTTATGATTGTATACATAAACATCAAGAGCGAGATGAGGGAGGACAGATGGATCAGTTATATTGAAATAGAAGGTCTCGTCCCAAACTGGGCTGAGATCCTTTTCCTTGATAGTGGTTCGGAATTTCTGTCCGTCAAAATGAAGCTCAGCAAATGCACTTGATGATCCTTGGCCATCTTTTGGCATAAGATCGTGTGCACTTACCACATGTACTCCCAGTTTCAAATTGTTCATGGTCAGGTTGGCAAATGGGCAATGCTGCTAGCTGGGTGTGGATGACAAATTGGCTTGCAAATTTGCAATACCTAAAAATTAGAAGATAACAATTAATATTTGGAGAAATTGCAATATAAATGGATAACAGAATAATAAATGGATTATTCAACTTTGAATTACTGATTTGTAGTCTGGTCAATTGCCATTTAGATTGAGAAATAATAAGAAATAACCTCTTTTGCAATTCTAGGGTTAAGGACTTAAGGCCAAAAGGCCGTGAAATAGTGTAGTCTAATCCATTCATTCCACCATGGGCAGGAGCTTGGTTAGAAGCGTTGGAGTAACGGTATGGTAGGGTAGTTATATAAATAAATTAGAAAATAATATCAATAAGGGGAAAATAGCACATCAAGCCAATGATTAAAAGAAAATAAAAGCATTCTTCTTCAAGTGATATAGAGATGTTATGTTCCTATGTACTCCCCAAAAATTATCTTGTACGGTCTAATCATTAACAAATACGTAGTTGTAGTCTAATGTATTGATGATCAGCATCATACAGGGAGGACACTGTCCGCTAACACTATGATAGTGGTATCACGGTTTAACAAAAATCAAGATGAAAAATTTCAGATCTTGTAAAACCATTTCAGAAAATCATCATGGTCATAACAGCAAGCAAAATGAACCACATGAACAACAGGGCTCATGTTACTTGGAGTCATGGTCTGTGCATCTGAGAGTTGGACCGAGTTACTTTGAAGAGCTTGGTTGTTTATCTTTTTGAAGTTTTTTAAAATTAAGTTACATCCAAGAGTTCAAGAGCTGGATGCAGATAATCCTGCAGGACTAAAAAACGAATACTAGAGAAGAGTGGAGACTTTTCTCCAGCAGATCTAGGCGGGGGACTGCCAAACTTGCAAGAAATAAAAGTTCTTGAGCCGATGTAAACAGGATCCCTTGATAGAGTATTCATACTTTCTAGTCAAGCTGGAAAAGTTTTACTGAACATTAATACAGTTTCACAGAATGCCATGGATCAGAAAAAGAAACGAATTCAGCACGACAAGAGAAGCTCCATTGCAAATATAACATGCATAAAAACAAATTAAATCATGTAGTATGGTCGCAGTCATGCTATCCTAACGAACTAACAACTAAATCCAAAACTTCATCCACGTAAAGCGTATTCAGAAAACAGTAGATGAAATGCTAAACTTCAAAAGAAGTTAGAAATAACCTGATGATAAGTGAATTGATCAAGACTTTGTTTATTCCTTTCAACTTGTTTTTTTCACTTCAGATTCTGAGAAACTGTTTAGGTAAGCCAAAAGTTGATATTGGATCCTTTCTTTTAAAAAAAGCTCATAATGCCAATAATATTAGCTCTAAAGTATACAATCTAAGATTATTATATATTTATTTTTTTGGACAGATTGAAAATGAAAGTTAATATTTTTGGAATGATGGGAACTTACAAAAGTGAGATTTAGGAAGTAGGCAACAAGTCAACACTTTCTCAAGCATGTGCATGGTCTAAATTCTAGGAGATCTCAAAGTACTAGTAACTTTAATATATTATAGATTATACATATACATGTAGAATGTACTCTAATATATTTAATAATTTAAGGTCTAAGGGTCTTAATCTTCATTTGAAATGATAAATTAATAAAAATACACTTGATTAAGTAAAAAGAGTCCTACACTCCTAATCTTAATTAATAGAAATAAATGAATAATAAGTTTAAGGGTCCTAATCTTCATTAATAAAAACTAACATTAAAAAGGGTGGTCCAAATTATGAAATAAAAGGTTTAAGGATCCTAATCTTCACTTAAAGAGAGAGAGAGAGGGGGGGGGGGGGGGGTTTAAAGGGTCCTAATCTTCACTAATAAAAACAAATGAATACAAAGTTTAAGGGTCCTAATCTTCGTTATTAGTATAAATAAATAAAAAGTTAAGGATCCTAATCTTCATTAAAAAAAATAATAAAAAAAAGGAAAAAAAAAAGAGGGTGTTTAAGTGTCTTAAACACTTTCTTTTTTTAAATGTCTTAATCTTCATATAAATAAAGGTTCCTAATCTTCATTTAATAAAGGGGTTAAGTGTTCTAATCTTCAATCAAATAAAGGTTTAATTAAGTGTCCTAAAAGCACGCTAATTACACATGATCTCTTCAGCAAATTCAACAAAATTAAATAAATACATTGACTACTTTCTATGGAATCTCAAAACCCCACATTTGCGAAAAAGGGCAGATAAGTCATTATCCAATACTACTACTGCATATTCGAACAATAATTTGGGATCCATTTTAGCATCTCAACCAAATCCTTTTTCCTTTTTTCCTTTTTTTATCTAATCAAAAAGGTACCAGTAAATCCAAACTAAATAATAAAAAATGTAAACATCTTCGAATTTTCTCTTCAAATCCCAGTAATTCTAAACATTGATGTTTAATCTTAAAACCCCAGTAAAATTTGACTTTTCCCATCAAATCACAGCGAATTGTTCAAATCATAAACAAAATATTACAAACAATAGGAAAAAGTTAAAATTTAAACATACAATTACAATATTAAAATGAGAGTGTATAATGCAAGACTACCAAAACAAAGATTAAAACACAGTTCTAAGAAAGTACCTGAGTAATTTGGGTGAATTACTTCTAATCTGCCATGTTTGCCGAATAGATGATGAGTTTAAGGAGAGACAAAGAGAGAGTTGAAGCTGAGAAAATAATGGAGTAATGAAGTGCGTTTACTGGTACAACTGTACAAGTATTTTTAGTGTTTTTAGTGATTGAAAAATGGGAGAATTGGAATTGGAATTGGAATTTGCAAGTATGAGTAAAAGAAAAAAGTGGTGGAATTAAGATATTTAATACGTGCGCGAGTCATGTAATGTTAAAAGACTTAAAAGAGTTAAAACCGAGGCATTTTAAAGGGAGGAAAGTTATGTATCTATTGGTACATAATAGGGGTATAATGGTAATTTAGTATAATAAAAAGGTGATTGGACTACATATTATCACTTTAATTTTCAGGTTTTAATTGTATCACTATAGTCATTTTAATACCATTGCAACTACTATTATATCATTACATTCCAATGGCATAATTTCACAACCTAGTGGTACATATATTAGCTTCAAAAGTATATCATTGTAACAATCTTTAGTGTAATTTTAACTATTTACAGTACTATTGTAATAACAATGATACATTTTACATCTCAGTGGTACTAATGTTAATTTTTAAAATATTTATAAATTGTCATGTTATGTACCAACAAATACATAACATTCCTCCATTTCTACATTCTCATTAAAACCATATCTTACGCCATGTCATGTGAGAGATTCAGGAGTGGAGTTAGGATGGGAGGAGTGAATGACTAACTCAATTACGATATTATCCTTCGTCACATTAAAATTGCTTGTATATTGTGTATGATGTGTTCCCCTTAAATAGATAAATTAATTTTGCTCTTAAGTATACATATTGCTTTCATAGTTCATATAGACGTGTATGTTCAATGGTAAACGATTATATCTAACAAGAGTTACAAATTTATAATTATAGATTATAGAAACAACCACCAATAAAGGCAATTTGAGAGTACGCCAACTCAAAAAACTGTATAGACTACAATCAAATGAAGTACATGTAAAACATCTTTATAACTTCAACTTAGGGCCTATTCTCTACAACTTAATTTTAGTTCAATTCAGTTCCATTCAGTTCAATTTAGTTCCTAATTTCCTTCTTTCATAAACAATTCAATTCAGTTCATTTCAGCTCCAATCAGTTCAGTTCAGTTCAGTAAATCAAAACATACCCTTATTGATAGATTATCTATTGAAGAGTTCTCCATATACAACAATTGAAATTTTGTTGAAAAACAATTTTACTTGATTCAAATGTTATGTGTACAATATATGTATAATTTTATAATAATGATATGGAGTAGCATATATAATACGAAAATCAAGGAGACCTTTAATTTCTTGATGAATACTCCGTACGACTTATGAAATACTTTTTATTTCTTAGGAGAAAATTGTCTAATTTCACACAATAAATTAGTGTAAAATGATCATATTTATATTTAAGACTAGTTGTTATTTAGTTAATAAAGATGAACGAAGTGTAAGTATTAAAGAAGCATATTTGTATTGCTATATACTTCGAATTAGATTAATACTGCGAAGTATTGATATTAATGGTCACTGTATAAAATTAATGTTTACGTTAACAATTCTACAAATGAAACATCCTACAAAAAAAATAAAAATTAAAAAAAAATTAAAAAAAAATAAATAAAAGGAAGAAGTATATATATATTTAGCTTTATTTTGTTTTTAACTCTTTTTAATTACATGTTCATCAGAGAGTATTTCAAATATGATATGAATAAACAATGGTGGTTTAGATTAATTTTTGCTAATTGCGATGCATTTGGTACAGTGGGTAAGTGGGAGATTGGGAGCACCGACTATAAGAAGTGCTCTGCACTGATCCCATCCAAATACCATTTATTCTACTAGTAATAAATTGAGATGTCTGTTTCATACAACGTAGCCCATATTCATTACTCACTAGTAACTCCACAGTCCATGTCTCATACAGTCATACATACTCCCTCTGTCCTATCAAAATTACCTTAATTAATTACTAGATCATATGCGAGTAGAGTTGTCAGTTTCTGACCCAAACTGTTAAATCCAACTGTTTCAAACCGATCTGAAAAGAAACTGAACCGTTAAAAACCCTTTTTTGGAAACCGAAAACCAACCCGACCCAATTTTTCCTAACCCGAAATTGAACTGAGCCGAATTTAATTTGTGTGAACCATTACTAATCTGACCCGTTACCAAACCAAACCATTACAACCCGAAACTGAAAACAACCCGAACCGATTACGTCTGAACCCGATAGTAACCCGACCCATTTTAAACCGAAAATCGTCTAAACCAGATAAAAATCCGATAAACTTGAATTGGTCCAACCCGTAACCCGTTGTGACCAAACCATTTATAACCCGTAACCCTTTATGATTGAACTGTTTCCAACCCGTAACACGTTTATACCGAACTGTTTACGACCCGTAACCCGTTAAGATCGAACCGTTTATGACTGGTAACCCGTTATGACTGAGTCGTTTACAACCCGTAACTTAATATGTTTATGATCTTATCCGTTTCAACCCACTACTCGATAAACCCAACTTATTTAGGATTTAACTTGATTATAACATGATCAGTTCCTACCCATTATTTGATTAACTCGACTCGATAATGATCCGACTCGATTTTAACCCAATATGATTTGGACTGATATTTACTTCAAATTGGGTAAACCCGTTTTCAAACCGACAAGTTCAATCCAAACTGATTATGACCTGAATCGATAATGACCGGAACGGCGAAACCCCAATTTCACCCGATTTGTTTTGAACCGAAACCTATTTTCAAACCGACCCGTTTTAACCCAAACTGATTATGACCCGAACCGGTTACAACCCGACCCGATTAGAACCCGAACTATTTTGAATCGAAACCCACTTTAAACTGGCTAAACCCGTTTTCAAACCGACTTGGTTCAAGCCAAACTAATTATGGCCTGAACCTACTACAACCCGACCCGATTAGGACCCGACCTGAATAGAAACCGCAATGAAAAAAAAAAAAAAACCAAACCGAATTGACCTGATGATTTTCAAAACCGACCCAAAGTAATCCGCTAATTATTTCAATCCGTTATAAACCGACCCGTTATAGCCTGAAACTGATAAACCCAATTCAACAAACTGTTTACCAAATTAACACCCCTATATACGATAGTTCTTTGTTCAAATAAGAAAATCTCGTTGGGACGAAAGTATCATCATGTATTGGTTCATCCTATTTATTTGTAAGGATGGTATCCCACGTTGCCTATTTATTGGTTTCTTGTTGACCCCATTGAATTGGCCCATTACAACTTATTACAAGCACCACCAATATTTATTGGTTCCTATACCAGGGCATAATAGATTCCCTGGACAAAATGTTATAAGACATTCCATCTTGATCAATAATCTAATTCACTTAAATGATGCTTATGATTATTGTAAGAGACATAATCAAGGAAAATGATGGAGAGTAGAAAAGGACATGTGTGAAAAATAACAAAAGATAGAGTTAGATCTGATTATTGGGCGGGTTAGATTAGGTCAAATAATGTGTGGGTCATTATCAAATCGTCCTTGTAGAAGGCCAAATGATGGCCGTGTCAATGCGGATTGCAAGAAGCTAGATTATCAAAGGGCTAGTAAATACGCAAGGAAAAAGACAATAATTGCTATCTAAATTCTAAATTATACGAATACATGTAAATTTATTGCCTTTTTTTTTTAATAAAATTATTGTTCTATCATTTTAACCTTGTCCGATGAATATCATGTCGTATCTAATAAAAACCCTTTTACATCAAAGTATCAAACTCAACCCTACATGGAATTATGGATATATCCATTGGTATATTTGTCCAGTAACTACCACTAGTATGTAAGATTTATGTACAGTAGTTGGTAAGCGAAATTTAAGCAAGAAAAATTTTGTCAAAATAATTGGGTGGTGGGTGGGTAGTAACAGGAGGATGCTAGGGGGTGTCACTCCCTCGTCTAGTTCCCCCTTAGTTTTTAAGAAGTTGTAGTTTGGTGTGGTTTTTGTTTTTGCATCGTCCTCTTTGTTTATTTTCTTGTTATTGGAATCTTTTCCTCTTTTGAATCAAAAAAAAAAAAAAATTGCCACGATAACGAGATAAAGATAAGATGTTTTATAAAGTCACCTTCTGTTTAGGGTAAAAATACCCTATGCCACGTGGCCCAGTAGAATCATGACACGTGGCAGCCCACCAACGACCCAATGTGATCCAATCGGATGCTGCCACGTGGCATCAAAACCCTAATCAGGGAACATGTCTCCCCCACTATAAATAGGGGAATCCTCCTCATTTATTGGGCATTCACAAAATCCAAACACGAAACCCGAGCAATATTAATTGCGGAATCTCTCTGAATCAGTGAGAAAAACCTATTTACCTTCCGCATTATTACCCATCCGTAAATCATACTAACTTGATCGTCGGAGGCGGAACTCCACCCAACCGGAGTTTCGTGGTTTTCCAGGTACAAAAGTCAGGCGCGCATACTCCTTATTGTAACTCTCCCGAGGGACCAAAAACACCCGAAACATTTGGCACCGTCTGTGGGGAGAGTACTACCGAGATGGCATCCGATCCTGTACTGAATGCAGAGGGCAGCCGACCTTTGGCTGATCCTGAGGTCCATACGGACCATGAGAATGGCAGTGGCGACGACTACGACGTCGAGACCTACATGGCCCCAGACGGGTCATTCCATTCTAGGCGCACCCGTTCCAAGGAAACAAAGGAACGGGGCCAAGACAAAGCTAACCCAGGCGGCAAGCCTGTGGGACAATCCCAGGCGGCGGAGGGTGTTGCCCTCGTCACCAGAGACGAACTCATGAACCTCATGACTAGTTTTAAAGGGGAAATCAAAGATATAATCAAGAAGTCAGCTGGCTCCAGCAAGGGTCAGTCGGCAAAGAAGCCTTCTCCCTCCGGGACGAAGCAAATCAAAGACCGGGTGCCCACTCCGCATCCCAAACACAAGGGGACGGATGGGCCCCTGATCGACCTTTCGAAACTTCGTTTCCCCGAAACGGGGCAACGGAAGGCCATCCGGCATACACAGCCGGATGGGTCAAAGAAGATGTTCTCTGACGCCCGGTTATTCATTCGGGAGAAGAAAAGTCAGAGCATGTCTCAATCGGCCTCAACGTCGACCTATTCGGACAGTTTCCGAAATGCTTCAATGAAGCATTCGGAGACA